ACTAAAAATACAAAAATATTAGCCAGGCGTGGTGGCGGGCGCCTGTAGTCCCAGCTACTCGGGAGGCTGAGGCAAGAGAATGATGTGAACCAGGGAGGCGGCACTTGCAGTGAGCCGAGATCGCACCACTGCACTCCAGCCTGGGTGACAGAGCAAGACTCCGTCTCCAAAAAAAAAAAAAAAAAAAAAAAAGGTGGGCAGCTCTCTTGGTTTGTTACTCCCCCAGCCCCTTTCTGGCATATATAACCCCCTCCAGATACACCGCTAAAGACTTAAGCCTTCTTGAAGTAGATACCATTATAAACCCCTACCTCCAAGCAAAACAGCAGAAAACCTTACACACAGAAACTAGCCATCAGATTCCTCCAGCAGCCTTGGCACTCCCTCTAACTTCTGCCCTCTTTCTTCTTTGCCAAATTTTCTAAAAGTAGCTTCACTGTCCTACTTACTAACCTCCTGTAGGCTGGTGTTGGGCTCCACCACACACCCATTAACCAGCTCTTATTATCACACTGGTTACTGCTGAATTTCCAAGTCTAATGGACACTTTTATTGTGTCTTAATAACCTCTGCGGGGCACTGACTCATCACTCTTCCTCCTGGAAATTTCTTCTCCCCTGGCTTCCATGACCCTCTCTGGCCTGGTTCTCCCCACCCCCACTCCCACCGCAACCCAACGAGCTTTTCTAAGCTCATTTCAGCCTCTGCCTTGACCTGGCCTTTCTCCCCCAGATGGAGCTCCATCCTGGTTCTCTTTGCTTCTTGTGCTCCACACCTACTGTGAGGCTTCTGATCTACACACTTTCTGTACAGCACACACCCTCCTGACCCCTGGATCTGCACTGCCATCCCAGTTATCAGTAACGAGGCTCCCAAAGTGGGTTGAAATCTGAAGATCCAGTCCAGGAGGAATCTAGGTATCTGCAAAGGCTAAACACACTAAGAGAGTAGGCAGAGCTGGGGGCACCCCTGCCAGGTGCTGGGGCTGGAGGCTCTGTCAGTTCCTTCAGATGAGTCTCCTAAGAGCTTCGGGACTAAGTGGGGGATGAGGCGCACTGATACGGGGAGAAAAGGACCTGTCCTGGGATCAAACAGCAGTGCTAGGGCTCCACATTAGACCACAATCAACCCCCTCCCAATCAACAAAGCAACACTCAGCTGTCCCAGTGCATCTGTTCAGGCTTTGGACACACAAGTGCAGGTTTTAACTCCATGGCACAAGTGTGCATCCATTTTCAGCCTTATTTGGGGGAGGGGAAAGCTGTTTGAGTCATTTTATATGAAGAATCCACTGAATGGAACATTTGTTACTATTTAATTAGAACAAACAGAAAACATAATAGCTATGTAAAATGGAAATTGCATAAAACATGATAAGTATACACAGAATGACCCACTGCAACCTGCCTTCCTCTCAATAAGCATCACCAAGTGATGTCCCCACCAGTCCCCAGTGCGAACAGGGATGCCCTGACCATCAGCTGGTTAGACATACACCTAGAAGCATTTTGTAAAGTCAGCTATCGGAACTTAGTCATTAGAATGTACTAAAAACTAATCCCGTACTTGAAGCAACATGGATAAAATGAAAAGGTAAATCATTCATGTTTAGTGACAATAATTAAATAATAAGGCTAGACCCACCGTAAAAATGTCAACAAGTTGGGAGAATGTTAAGAGAGCAGAAAACTTCAGACAGATGATACAAAAAAGCAGAAATGGGGAACTTGGGAGGAATTCTGCTTGTCTAGGGTCAGGATGGTAGGAAGCTTTTGTACCACGTATGGTAGCGGTGGTGTCACCTTTGGGTCCAGCCGGAAAAATAAAAACAGATGCCAGCCATAGGCAGAGGAGGAACAGCAATGTGTGTGATTGCATCCATGACCTAAAGCCCACGTGGTATTAGTGGGGTGGCCAGGGAGAGGCAAACGGTGACAACAATGATAGTGTCAACAGCACAGGGTAACTGTGGTCCAAGCACAAGCACTTTTCTGATTACCATCTATAAGATGACTCCCCAGGCTAGGTCAGGCTAGATGACCTAGCCCTGAGCTTTTATTATATCTGCAGATCCATATATCCAACCGTCTGTTGAAAACATCGGCAAGGATGTCTCTAAGTGTTTCCAGCCCAACATGTCCCAAACTAAACTCTTAATCTTATCAACAAACTTGCTCCTCCTCCAGGCTTCTCTGTCTCAGTGACATGCCTATCCACTCCACTGCTCACGCCGGAACCCCTCAAAGCAGCCTTAATTTTTCCCACTGTCTGTTCATCCCACCTCTGAGCCGCCATTTTTACACTTCCTGTTTGTCCACATCACCATCATCACTTGCCTGGACTTCTATACTCCTAAATTGGCTTTTTGCTTCTGTTCTCACCTTCACCCCTGTAATCTGTTCTCTCCCCAGCAGATAGAATAACCATTTTAAAACTTAAATCCAAAATCTTCCTGTGGCACTCAGGATAAATCCCGGCCTCCATAGACTCACAGGGTCTGGCCTCTGCCAGCTTCTCATTTCTCCTGCGAATACTTCAACTTGCAATGAAAACTTTGCCTATGTGAGTTCCATTCCCAAGTTCTCTTGCATCTGCCTATTCACTCCAAAGAGAAATCAAGCTCCTTTTCAGGCTAAAATGCAAAATAGAGTTTGGCGTATCTCCTAAGAAGGCCAAACTCCGAGCCAATCTTTTAAAATTTCTTGCCCACGTAAAAATTCTTGAAAAGCAATCTCGATTCCCGGCCAGACTCCCTGCCCACGTGTTCCCCACCCGCGTGCCTACAGCTCCATCCGCCTGCTCTGGTCAACACCACAGCTGGGCCCTGCCCCTTCGGAAGCTGATGCTCCAGCGAGGGCGGCGGATTTACGGTGCAAGGTTACTTGGAGCGTAAATCTGGGCCTCAGGAATCAAGGGCTTTGACATTTTTACAGCCTCCTCCTCCAAGCCCCTGCACGGACATGAGGCAACTGGAGGGAAGAACATCTGGTTTCACTTTTTTTATTCACGGCCACAGCTTCCATCTGACAAAATCCTGGATCTCGCCAGAGTTCTGGTTCTGGCTGAATGAATGAGAGACGAGGCCGTGCTCTGCAAGAGATCTCGTTTTCCTGCCTCACCATGGTGTAAGGAAGCCACCAGGAATTAAAAGAGCACCACCATCGCACTGAAACAAAACACTTGCTTGAGTCCTGGCCTGGGCGGCCACCTGCCAACTTGCTAGAAATTAAGAAAGGGCGTTTCTGAGGGAGACAGGGGGAGCCTCCGGGCCTCTCTTGCAAAGGGGGCTGAGGCCGGGGTCTTGCGCGGTGCATGCTGGGACTTGTAGTCTCCGCGGGCAAGATGGCCGCGGGGTTCTCAGTGCAGGACACAGGGGCTCCTCCTCATAACCCATTCCTGTGATCTCTGACACAGCCTGCCACAGCAATGACTGCCGTGGCCAAAGGTCACCTTGGGAGAGTGCATACAGAAACACACATCAGCCGCTCGACTCTACGCGCAAAGATAAGAAGCCGCTCTGATTAGGTGCGCCTTTCTGGACATGACTCGCCCAGAGCCCCGCCTCTTGACAAGGGCCTTCCTTTTCATCTGATTGAGAACTCCAGACTGGAGCAACTTCAGAAAAACGTGCCCCTCTCTGCTGTCCAACCAGCAGGGATGATCAGAACAATCAGAAAGAGGTCCCTCTGAGGAATGTTCTCCTGCAGTGAACAGAGCACCAGATCCCCTGTCCCTAATCACTGTGTGTGGCTCTGGTCAGACCCAGTGAGGGAAACGGTAACTCCTCATCGTCTGTTTCCTAAACTATGCATTGGCCTGAATGTGCCAGTAAAGAAAGAAAGCAAGGCAAAGTCCAAGCAGGGCATGGCGCCATGACGCTGTAAGAAGGCACCCTGATCTGCCCTGGGGGCTCCAGTCCACTTTCTTGCCAGGACTCTGAATGCAGACTCTAAGTCACCCCAGCTCAACATCCCTCAGCAGTCCTCACAGCCTAGTAAATAAGCTCCTTTCTACACATTTGCTTTTATGGCTCTACCTCATTACTTTCTCATTCTCGTCCTCAATTCTAGTCAAGAGGGCATTTGCCAATGTTCATAGTGACCTTTTACTGAGCACTTACTTCATGCTATGAGCTTCGCTAAGCATTTATACCCATTATCTCATTTAATCCTATATTAATCCATAAGGTAGTTACTGTTATGCCCATTTTTCAGATGATGAAACTGAGGCACAGAAGTTAAAGTCTTCACACTATTTACTGCCATCAAACCTGCAATCAAGCAAGTAGTTCTGTTTGAGGTAACCATGTAGTCATGCAGACAGTCACCACAGGACATGCATAATCACCTACCCCCAAAAGCCCTCGACAGTGACTGGAAAGATTCCTAAGTGCCCTCTCCCACACTCTGCTCCCACCCTTTAATCCTGTGGCCACTCTCCACAACCCCCTTTGCATAGGTGATCTCATCTACATTCATAGCTTTCACACTTACAACCTCCAGATTAATCCCACAGATTCGTATGTACAACTGCCTATTTGAAATGTCTACTTCACTGTACGAAGGCATCTCACATGAAGCATGTCCTGACCATACCCTTCCTCCTGTAGATTGTACCTCTTCTAGATTCCTCCCAGCTAAGACTAATTATAAGCAGTGTCCAAAGCCTATCAATTCCAGCACCCTAGTGGCTTTTAAATCTGTGCCCTGTTCTCACTGCTTTAGGGTTAGATTACAACCCCTTTTCCTTTTCACCTGAAACATAAAATGACCTCTTATTTTGGACCCTCCACAAATAAATATCATAAATTGCATCTGTAAGTTCTGTAGCACACCTTCTTTCAAACGGTGGAGTCTAATTCCTTTACCTTTGAGCATGAGCTAGACATAACAGCTCTCCTCCAGCAAATAGAACATGGCTGAAATGACAGTATGTGATTTCTGAGGTCAGATCACAAAACACGTTGCCACTTTCACCACACTTTCTCAGATCATTCTTACCTTATTCTGGGCTGAGCCAGCTGCCATGTCACGGGGATACTCAAGCAGCCTATGGCAGGGTTCATGTGGAAGGAACCGGGTATCTACAAACAGCAATCACCAACTTGGCAGCTATGAGAGTGAGCCACTTGGAAATGGCCTGATTGCCGCTCCAGCCATGCCTTCCAGTGCCTGTGACCCCAGCCTGCGTCTTCATGGCAACCTCCTGGGAGACCCTTAACCAAAACCTCTCAGCTAAGCAGCTCCAGAAATCCTGATCTCCACCGAGCCACACACAGAACCACACGTGCTGTCGTTTTAAGGCATTGTGTTTGGAAGTAATTTCGTGTGCATGACGATAACTAAACCCTTATCCCGTTCCCCACTTATCACAGCCAGGGCTATATTTTTAAAATGCAAGTGTGATTATGTCATTCCCCTACTTAAAATTCTTTTATGATTCTCCATCACCTGCAGACTAACTGTGAAACTCGTTAAGACAGCATCCAAGTTCTTCAGCATCTGGCCTCTTTGGCTTCAACTCTCAAGAGCTCACTGAAGGAGTCTTTTCTCTGGCAGGCCAGAATTGGTTTTATATCCGATCCCCCTCTCTCAGAGATTCTCCTTGAAGTAAGTGTTAGATCACACTCCTAAGAGTTGTAGGCGGCCGGGCGCGGTGGCTCAAGCCTGTAATCCCAGCACTTTGGGAGGCCGAGACGGGCGGATCACGAGGTCAGGAGATCGAGACCATCCTGGGTAACACGGTGAAACCCCGTCTCTACTAAAAATACAAAAACTTAGCCGGGCGAGGTGGCGGGCACCTGTAGTCCCAGCTACTCGGGAGGCTGAGGCAGGAGAATGGCGTGAACCCGGGAGGCGGAGCTTGCAGTGAGCTGAGATCCGGCCACTGCACTCCAGCCTGGCTGACAGAGCGAGACTCTGTCTCAAAAAAAAAAAAAAAAAAAAAAAAAAAAAAAGAGTTGTAGGCAATTTTTATCAGTACACTCATGAACATTTACCAGGGCACTGCCCACTCCTGCCCAGGAAAGAGTGTCCTCTACATCTGTCTCCTAGGCAATAGAACAGTACTGAGCTAGAGGGAGGCACTCAGGAAGTAATTTTGATGCAAGAGAGGATGCAATTGATAGGGGAAAAGTTATCTAAGACTGATTTCAATAGCAATCGCTGACTGAATCAGAGAGCCCAATTCCAGCAGACATTCTCTATCAACTCATCTAGATAAAAACCAACCTTTTTGGAGACTAAGTCCCTTTCTGGAGACTGAGAGTCTGAAAAACACGCTGTTTTGTGTTTTCCGGAAGAACAGCCTGGTGGGATGGTGTGATGCTTTAAGGCAGCACCTGCATCCTCCCATCCCCCCATGGCCCTGATACTTGAGGCATCTCATCAGGTCATCCTGACACCTGGGTGCCATTGGAAACTAACTGAACCTGGAACACTGGGATTTCAGGTTCAATGTTGATGTGAAGGGTGTGCCTATGAGAGGCCTGGGAAAAGTCAGGCACCTTTACTTTAACCACAATGATGTACTGGGGCGCTACTATATACAGACCCTAAGACTTTAGATATATCAGCAATCTTACAGGGGAGGAAAAGTAAGTGGTATTTTTTACTGTTCATCTAAGTGATTCATGTTTCATATAGATTAGGAAACACCAGTTTTAGTCACTCTTAGAGAAACGTATTTGTGTGGGGGGATGCTTGGGGTGGGGGTGGGGGCTCTGGAATGTCACTTAAATTGGTGGTTGCCTCACCAAGGTGATGACCCTGAAGGCTTTTTTTTTTTTTTTTTTGCGATGGAGTCTCGCTCTGTCGCCCAGTATGGAGTGCAGTGGCATGATCTCAGGTTACTGCAACCTCCGTCTCCCAGGTTCAAGTGATTCTCCTGCCTCAGCCTACCAAGTAGCTGGGACTATAGGCACATGCCACTACGCCCAGCTAATTTTTGTAGAGATAGGGTTTCACCATATTGGTCAGGCTAATTTCAAACTCCTGACCTCAAGTGATCCACCTGCCTTTGCCTCCCAAAGTGCTGGGATTACAGGCCTGAGCCCCCACACCCGGCCTGAAGGCTTTTATACTTAGAAAATACCTGAGCTCCTCCACATGGCTGACAAGGACCGCAGAGCTGCAGGGCCACCCAGGCAGCTCTGGCCTCCTCCCGCTACCTGGGGCTGTCACCCAGGTCTCTCTTTCATTCCTGGGATGTGCTGAGGGACTTGATGTCTTCTCCTTCTCCAAATTTTTACAGGGCTGGCTCCCTTAGTTGTTCAGTCCTAGCTCAGATGCTACCTCCTGGGGGCTTATTCCCTGCACCATCTTTCAGAAGTCACCCCTCCCGCTGTGTAAGACAGGCTGGAGCAAGGAATTTGCATTTCGGTAAAGGCATTGCTGATAATGATAGCTAAGAAAACTCATTTCTTCATATCAAAACTTTGGTCCACTGGGCATTGGTGATGGAGGTGGGAGGGGAGAGGATTCCTCCTTGTTGCTTTGGATCTTTTTTGGAAATGAGTGCTTTTAGGGCTTGCTCCACAAAGGGGAAAAAAATCTAAAAATGTTCTGGCTTCACTATAGTGTTAATGGTTTCTTCTCAAGTGTTTGCCTAATTGCCTTTAATTAGCAAAAACTTGAAGGAAGTTGATGGCTTAAATGCAAGCAGTTCATAACCCTCACATAGGTCATTTACTTTGAGGCAAGGGAGTGGCTTTTGTGCCCTAGGGCAGGAAGGAGAAGGGGCAGTGTAACCTCTCTGGGCCAGGCAGGCCTCCTTCAGTGCAGACCTTAGCTGCTGACCAGCAGCCGGGAGGCATAGCTGCACCTGATGAAAGTGACGCTTGCATTCCGTCCGAATCCCCACTGGGCACCACAGCACATCCTACAGCATCTGGATACTGATGTCTCCAAGGCTGGTGTGTTTTCAACCTCTTGATTCTTTACTTTATTATGGACTATTTCATAGTCTAATTGTGTGCCTGTCTTCTTGTTCTATTTATAATGGGGCACATATTTATATCATATTCCTTATAATATTATAAGGAATATATATAATATAGATTATATTTTAGTCCTGAAATTTATCAAGGAATATAAGATATTATATTACAATATTAATGATAATTTATATTTATTATATATTATAAGATAATATTATACTATATTATAAATATGTTACCTTATATTCCTTGATAAAATTCAGGACTAAAAAACAAAAAGAGAGTGAAATAACCAGCCATAATCCATCCTGGCTGCTCCTTGCAGTCAACATCAGTGGTGTCCTGGTAAGCTGGTTCTACAAAGGAAGCGGGGGAAAAAACCCTGACATGCCATTTGCTGGTTTCTTGGTATAAATACTCCTACCATGGCCAACCAGCTAGCAAAATTTCTGAATATTTAACAGTCAGTTCCCAGGAGCCCACACAGGCTGGTCATAGCACATCACGGCAAAATACCTTCCCATCAGCCCATCTTAGGAATATTGCAGTCTGAGCTCTGCCACAGCCCCTAACTAAAGAAAATAAAGGCCAGGTGCTGTGGCTCATGTCTGTAATCCCAGCACTTTGGCAGGCCAAGGTGGGAGGATCAGTTTAGGCCAGGAGTTTGAGGCCAGCCTGGCCAACGTGGTGAAACCCTGTCTCTACTAAAAATACAAAAATTAGCCAGGCATGGCGGGGGGCGCCTGTCATCCCAGCTACTTGGGAGGCTGACGTGGGAGAATCACTTGAACCTGGGAGGCAGAGGTTGCAGTGAGCCGAGATCGCGCTACTGCACTCCAGCCTGGGCAACAAGAGCGAAACTCCCACAAGCAAGCAAGCAAGCAAGGTAAGGAAGGGAGGAAGGGAGGAAGGGAGGAAGGGAGGGAGGAAGGGAGGAAGGAAGGAAGGAAGGAAGGAAGGAAGGAAGGAAGGAAGGAAGGAAGGAAGGAAGGAAGGAAGGAAGGAAGGAAGGAAGGGACTAGTGTCTTCTCCACAAACACTGGTAGCCCTTATTTTCTAAAAGAAATCTAAGCTAGTATACCAAAATCTGGTTTAGTGAATATTCAAGAAAAAAACCATCCATAATCACTATGAACAATCAATCTCTTATATGGGAAGCATATTGATTGTGTGTCCTGTCCTGCTTCTCAGCTTGTTGCTGAGTGTGGGGGTGGGGGGAATTCCTGATGGCAGGGACCTTGCCTCCTTAATGCGCCTTTGCCCTCCAGCAAGGTCAAAGCTTTCAATCCACAGGGAAGCTCAATTATCCTAATAGGAGGATAGCTGGCCTTACTGAGGGAGTTAACTGAGTTAGGAGCCACAGCCTTTGCAGAAAAGTTAGATGAAAGCTGGAAGTGAACCTGACCTACATAAGGTACCAGGCCTGAGTCCCATGCATTTGACAGATGCAAATAGCCTTCATCCAGACTGCTGGAAGGCAACCAGTGGAGGTTCCAGCGCAAGGCTCAGCAGCAAACCTGGACCTGCCCCACGTCAACTGGAAATTTCAAGGCTAGGCCAGGTATGAGGCTATGCAGAAAGAGATAAGACATGTGTGCCCCACCTCAGCCCTTGCACAGCCCCAGCAATGCTAACCAAATCCCATCCCAGCCAAAGGGCCAGGAAGAAAAAATAAAAGACAAAAGCACCACATGGAAAAGAAAAATTCAGCAAATAGCTCTCAAGACCAAATGCCTAGCAAACAGCTGTGTGCCAGAGCTCCTCCTTACTGTGGAAAAAAAGGAATAAATGTTCTGCACCTATATGTCTCGTGTGGATAAAAACAATGAAGTTGTTGTTTCACGGATTGATTGTGTCAACATCCATGGAGTCCTTACCATGTGCCAGTAACTGGGCAAAGTGCTGAGGACACAAAAGTAAAAAGGACAGCCTGTGTCCTCCTTCAGATCTCGTGACCCTGGCAAGCGGGCAGCTGGGTCCCCGCAGGACAGAGGTCTGGGAGAATTGCTGGTGTTTGCGCACGTGCAAGTGCCTGCAGACTGCAGAGTGCAAAGCCAAGAAGCGGCAGAGGATGGAGACCAGAGGCAAAGCAAGGATTCAGATTAATGGACAGCCCTGTCGGAGTCAAACAAAGACCCAGCCTGGGAAGCCAACACCAGGTAGGAGGTGAAAGTACTGAAGCCACAGTCACCCAGATAGAGTCAAGTAGGTTTGGAGTAGACATTGAGGGCAGCACCTGCAAGATTCTTTCAGGGACAGAAAGGAGCCTGTGTCCTCCCCCTCGTTGGGAAGGGAGTTATTAGAACCACTATTACTGGTTCAGGAACTCTCGAGGCAATCTAAAGCACCATCAATGTACCATTATTTGGTGTGCCACTAAGAAAGAAATAAACCCTAACGAATTATGGCACACCACCAATGTTACATGTATTTCAATTTCAGAAATGCTAAAATAAGAACTAATGTGTATCTTAGAATCAATGAAATACAGTAGTGGGGCATAGATAATTGGGTGAAATATTTGAAGGGAAATGGATACAGACACTGAATTGCCAGAATAGATTAAATAATGTCACACTGTTTGGGATACACTTTTATCACATTGGGAATCCTGGAAAACCATGGAGACAGGCAGGGCACAGCAAAAAGAAAAGAATGAAGTGGTGGCCTCTGGCACAGCCATCTCTAAGATAAGAGAGTGAAACTGATCACGAGATCCCAATCCTTAGTTAGAGACCCTCATTAACTTGGTTTCTAGTCCTCCATTCTTCTAGGCAGTGTCTTCTTTCTCAAATTACATCCATCTATGGGGGGGCGGGGACTGCACTATGAGCACCAAAATGTGAACAAGTAGTGCATTAGTTCTGTGAAGTCTTGTACCTGTGATCCCTTTCCTCACACACGTATCAATTCTGTTTCCTACCCATGGTTGGGTTGACTTCCACTGGGGTAATATATACATGTAAAGACACACATAAAATCTGGCAAAAGTAAGTAGCTGTATTGTTCAACACCCATAAGCTTGGGCCTGATGGATGAATGACCGCAGGTGGGAGGCAGGAAATAGTTAGGTCTCATTAGAGGGACGAGTGTGGCAGAGCTACAATACAAATTGAAAACAAAAGACCAAGAAAGACTATCTGGATGGTGAGACTTAAAACACAAACTGATGAGCCATGAGGAATGGAAGGAAGGATGTCTTCAAACATAGACTGTACCAGTACAAACTACAGAGAATCTATCCTAGAGGGGTTAATGGCTGGAAAGTCACAAAGGGTCACTCGCCTCCTCCCCTACTTCCCTGGCACCAGTAACATCAGCATGGACAGAGCCCTGGCGGATCTGCTCCTGGAGGGTTCGAGGGAGGGGAGTACTGAGGCTAAGCATCGCATCTCAATCAGGCTGCCGGCCCCCTGAGAACAGGCCCTGTGTCCTGTTTCTGTGTTCTCTACAGTGTGTCCTGCCCGTGGCAGAGGCCACACAGGACAGGGCTGAGGGAGGATTGTGGGTTTTCTTCATTACAACCCTCCTCAACAGTTAGAAACTGTCCTTATACTCAAGGACAGTCCTACACCAGATCACCTGGGCAAACCAGGCCCTTGTCCAGGCTGGACCACCCAGGACTTACCCATGTGTTTTCAGGGTCTTAGAGGAAGGCTTCACCTCCCCTGCAGCTGAATGAAAGCTGCCACGTCCCACTTACCCCACAGGGGTCGGATCTAGAGAGTCTCCGGGGCTGCTCCAACATACCATATTCCCTAGATCTTTCTGATCACCGCATGTCCCTGCCAGGGGGTCTGCACATCTGCCTGCTGGGGGCTGGGAGTGGCCGAGAGCCCCAGCTCCCACACAAAGACCTAGCCCTGAGTGTGCAGAATGGCAGGTCTCAGATGCAGAGCCACCGCTGGCACAGGGTAACATGGAAAATGCCTGGCCTTGGCACAAGTGCATTCTGCTCGGAATATCTAGCAGGAATCGTAATCAGAGGGCAGAGGCAACTGCATTTGTGGGGAGAAAATGTGGGGCGATGCAGTGTCCCGAGCAGCTTCCCGACCCCCGTCATCGCCGTCCTTGCGTTGTGCCACCGCCCTTGAAGATACTTCTTTTGGTGGTTCTGTGGGAGCTGCTGCAGATGAGGACGGGGTATCAGTGTCTGTTTCTCCTCAGCCACGCTCAGCGAGGTCGCTGGGTGCCAGATATGGAAACATAAATGGCAGCTGCTGTCCTGAAAGCAGGTGGCTGCTCTGACCAGGGAGGGAAATGGCTTGGGGACTTACTCATGCAGCCTGAGAGCCACAGAGTAAGAATAAGTGTGCAACAGGTGTGTGTAGGCACGATTGTGTATGCCTATATCTGCGTGTAAGCTCCAGAGCTGTGAGCTCACACACACACAGGCACACAGATACACACATACAGGAACACACAGACACACGCACATGCATGCACACACACACACAGATGCACATACACACACATACATACACACACAGACACGCAGAGACATACATACAGATGCAGAGACATACGCACAGACACACACATACATATACACACACATGCAGAGACATATATACAGACACAGACATACATGCAGACACACACATATGTATACACACAGGCACACAGAGACACACACACACACACATACAGACACACAGATGCACACATACAGACACATACAGACACACAGACACGCACAGACACGGACAGACACATACACACATATACATAAGCACCCACAGACATACCCACAGAGACACAGACACACATGTGCACACACACAGACACACACAGAAACACACGCAACACACAGACACACACAGACACACACAGAAACACACGCAACACACAGACACACACAGACACACACAGAAACACACGCAACACACAGACACACAGATACAAACACATAACACATACAGAGAGATACAGAGGCACACATGTATTTATATACACACAGACACACACTCACAGAGCACACACATACACAGAGACACGCACAGATACACACATAACACACGTATGCAGACACACATAACACATGCTCCTCCCACCCCATTGGTGGTGGCCACAGGGCTGTCCGGAGAGCAAGCAATCAGTAAGCGTTTGTTGGATACTTAGTGAAGGGTGAAATGACTGAATGCACCTGTAGGTGAAATGGATGCTTCTGCTTGCAGGGCAGGCTCTAAGAGTTGAACAGGGGCATGGCAGAAGCATCGCCACAAGTGCTGACGAGGTGATGGCTTAAAACACTGCAAGCGCCATGCAGAGCGAAAACTCCTTTCAGAGGAGCTAGATGACCCGGGAACTATTGCTGTAGCCTCATTATCTGTGAATGATTGATTCCAGACAGGAATTGAAGATGAGGCAACTGAGAAAAGGAAAAGGGAAACACAGTGTGCCTGTTAAATGCCCTTGTTCACCTGGCGAGAGATGCACATGTATAGTCTCACCATCAACTATCCATGTGGGGTATATATAAAAATATAGAAGTATACATTGTATGTGTATATATATGTGTATATGTCTGTGTATACACACATATATACACATACACACATTATGTACATTTATATCTGTATAACGGCAGTGCCTGCACTGGCTATTTCCAGGCGGCCCATATCCTGTTTTAAACTGATTTAAAATATTGCTACTGTAAACTAATATCGTGATTTGCAACCACTTAAATTCTGGGAGAATTTCCCAGGACTGTGATGAAAATCCCAGCGTCTGGTGGTTCCCTCATGCCAGCTTAACCCTAATTGCCTACACTAAGTCCAATTAGCGGCAAATCAGATTCCCCTTCATTTCATCTGATGAAGTAAGCTTTGGCAGGAGCATCTGCCCACGCAAAGCAGAATGAAGAGGGAGAGAAGAACGGGGTTGCAGGGAACAGGGACATGAGTGTGGCGACCAAAGGGTGGCCACAGTCCTCCTGCCCCTGAGTCTCCATGGCTCCGTGCCCCCAGCATGCAGATTCCCTTCCCTGCACAGAGTTTTTGTAACTGAGTTTGGTGAGAATCAAATCTATCAGGTACAGTCCTAGAAACAAATAACTTGAAGTCTACTTTAAAGGCAGATTCTCCTGGTCTCTTTCTTTCCTGTGTCTCTACTCTGTGCCTCTCTCTAACACACACACACACACACACACACACACACACACACACACACACGGCCCTTCTGTAAGCACACTTTCCTCTCTGTCCCCTCTCAGTGCCCCTGCAGGCACTGGGTGGCGGCTGCCGAGGAACCAGTAGGACTGGCACAGCCATGGCAGTGGAGCATGCGGTCCAGGGCACAGATATCAGCGGCTCTGGCTCCACAGGCAGTGCATCCTGCCAAAGCCTTCTCTCTCTGCATCTCAAGGTCACAATAATAGATTACGAAAGAGTGGAAAAGCACGGCTCAGAAAATGGGCCGTGGGGACTTTCCTGTGGGTGAGGAGGAAGAGAACAATGCCCGATGCGGCAGCAGGTCGTTTGAACTCTGCGAGGGAAGGAAATGTGGAGCGTGGGGTCCCTCCAATGCCTGGCGCCTGCAACGCCCCCCTTCAAGGGCTCTGAAAACACCAAACTTGGGACCATTGGAAAAATGATTTCTCAGGTGTTCTGATGTAGAAGAGATTCCATCACAAACACTAACCTGTTTCACAAGAATCAAATATTTACTATTGTGTTTCATGGTGGCTACTTTTTAAGTCCCTTGCAAATTAAGGTAGGACAAATGTTCTCACAAAATAAACATTCTCCTGTCTTCAGAAACCACTGATAAATAGTCAGGGCCGATGAATCCTTGCCTCTCCTCAGAATAAGGGAGGGCTGTTATTTTAAAGCAGCAAATAGAACCAATCCTCAAGTGCCCTGGCGGAACAGAAGGCTGGACTGTTAAAAGTTTGTGACACTCTCAGGGATGACATTGGTTTCCAAGGGCTGCAGCAGCCATACCCAAAGAAAACATTTTATGTATGATGATGTAGTAACTATACTTCAAGTCTTGACTTAAAACATGTATAATTCAACAACAAAATTACAATTTCTCTGTAAAAGGAGCACTTTTTAAAAATCCAAGCCACTTATACCAGTTTGAAAATATTTGGGGTCTTAACTGTTTCTGAGGCTATAGCAAGTGGTTTCTCATAAAATCAGACCCAAGGGAGCTCTCTGAGAGGACCCTAGGCACTTAGATTATATTCCAGGTATAATTTATTCCGAACAGTTTAGCATAAACTATGGTCACATTATAAGAGCATACTCTGGTTGTAAAATGTCCAGGAAAGACAGAAATAGAGGTGGGGTCCAAGAAACAGTTCTAGTCTCCTAGAAACCATGCCTTCTGCTCAAGCCAAGTGCTTCTCCTGATCACGTCCTCCTGGTATCTCCTAGCGGCCGCGAGCATTGGAACACAGTCTGACCAGTTCCTGAGCCACCAGGCACCTTCTCTGAACGTCTGAACTATCCGCCTCTTCCCTCAGAGCGGGCCTACAGGGACTCAGCAAGGCTGGGTGCTGGAGGGTCACTCTGTAGGCCTGGCCAGAGGGAGACCACACCACCCAAAGAAGCCACTCAACAGCCAGGGCTCCCCTGAGAGGTCACAACTGGTGACACAGGCCCTTCGCTGGGAGAGGCCAGCCCTACCCAGAACAGAAGGGCTCACTGCTCCAGCCTCCAGCCTTCAATCCCAGCTGGAGCTTTTCAGCTCTAGTTTTTCCTCCAGGTTATCTTCCCTCTGTGGCCTCCAGCGGGTCACCCTGTGATGCTGCAGTTCCCCAGTCTTTGCAAACGGGGGAGAGATGACTACTGACTTCCGCGATGATTCATGCTGGTTGTTTACAGCAGAGAAGGAGGCAGTGCGGTGCCTGCACGTCTTGGAATTAGCCGAGCTGTGAGGGTGCACCGAGGCCAGCACCGGGCTTCCCGGGTATGCCAAAGCTGGAATTGTGCTGCTGCCCTGCAGAGGAGCAGGGGGAGCGGGGAGCAGGGATACAAAACCTTGCCTGTCAAGGAACGCAGTGTTCCTGGCCCTGTCTGGAACCTTCACAAAGCAGGTGGGAAGGGAAAGTGCATGGATAAGATGGACTTCCCAAAACAGCTTCTGCCAAATTAAATAAAGAATATCCAGTTCCTTCTTTTTAAATATATATGTATTAAATTATGAAATAATTTAAATATGTAGAAAAGTGCAGAAATAATAGATCAAAGGTCCAAGTGCCCACTCATCAGCTTTAACATTTTGCTGTCTATACTACAGATTTTGTTATTTTCAAAAACAAAAATGCAATCAGTCAAGCAAGCACACAGCACTTCCTGAAGGGATTTGATGTAGAGCAATTGCAATACCAAACGAGCCCACCTCCAGTTCTCTGCTGAACAGATCCGCTCATGATGTTATTTCCCTCACTCTGCCACCCCCGAGTCTCTTCTGTTGCTCTTAGGACACCATGGCGAGAGCTCTGGAGTCCAGACTCCACTGTGGAGACCGACATGGTTCCCTGAGCTCCCTGCTTGGTCTCCTGTCCTGCCTGGTCTCAAGTCCTACCTACAAAGACTGACAGCACTGTACTAATGCAGCAGCTTCAAATCACTGAGCAAGCAGCCCACTCCTTCCCGTCTCCTCCTGAGCCCACCTTCTCTCCACGCTCCCTTATCCCAGGCTGTCCATAGGTACCATTTGGCTCCAATTCTACATCATAAGTGTTTCTATGAATACAGGCTTTGTGGAGTGTTTATTCATAGGACATTAATCCCAGAGGGGAATAAAAGCAGTGCCGTCCATGACATTATCTGTGTTAGCCTTGGATTGTCTGCTGTAAAATGCTAATTGCAGCCTCTGGAGTTGAGAAGGTGTTTGTATGAAGCCTGAACAGGGAGCAGGAGGGCAGGCAGAAGAGGCAGCCCAGCCTTCTAGGAGCCAGGGCCCTCAGAGGAGGAGGAAGGCCTGGGGCCAGGCAGCAAGTGGACATGGCACAGGGCCTGGTTCCAGAGCTGGGCCTGGGAGGGGGCCTTTGTACTGCCCAGAGGAGGGGCCACAGTGTCCCTCCAGCTACCTGGTCACTGGTTTTACCAAAGCTGGTATCCAAACATCCCAGGGGTCTCCTCAGAGCCCGTGCAGCTGAACAAACCCATGTTTTTAAAAATGAGAGTGACACCAGCCTGCCCCTCCTCCCAGTGCAGCGGGGTGTGAGGGTGTGCGGCGGGGTGTGAGTGCGCAGTGGGGAGCAGGGAGCCTAAATCCTAGTACACATGATGTATTTTGAGATTCCAAGGAGCTCCTGGATGTGCATTCAAGGGTGGCAGTGTTTCAGGAGGGGCAGATAGACGTGCAGGCAGCCACACCCTTTCCCCTCCCCCCTCCCCCAGCAATTTGTTCCTTCTCAAGTTTGAGACACGCGAGTCTTGCATCTGTGTCTCTGGAGCCGCCTACACAAACCAGCGCAGAGATCACAGGGCTGGGACTGGCTGGCGACAGTTCACTCCCTCAACTCCAGAGGAGGAAATGGAGCCAGAGGTCGTAAAACGATGATAGAATCGAAAACAAGACCATTTCTTTCTGCACCCCACACCCTTTTTACTTTCACACATGCACACACACACACCCCACATGCACACTCACACCCATGTCCAGGATGGCCGGACAGAGCCCCTCCCAGTCCTGCCATTCATTTTGCATACATGCTTGGCTGGCTAGTGGGCAGGATTATGTTTGACAAAACCTCCTTTTAATCAATCTGATGCTTGCCAACCTAGGAGCTGACAACCGTGCAAAGCACCGGGCCATGGGGCAGTGTTCCATTTTGTTTCCTCTGGACAGCTGGCAAGATGGAGTCCCTCGGAGGTGAGAGGATGGTTTCTAGAAGCACGGGAATTCTCAGTAGTGGATTAAACTGCAATGCAGACCGTCTGCATCCCCAGTGGAGAGTCAGAGGCCGGGGAGGATGCTGAGCATTCCAAGCAAGCACTCTTCCAGAAACCTGCCAGCTTCCCCACAGCAGCCAGGGTGACGATGGGAAGAGCTGCTGCAGTCCTCGCCTTCAGCCCGTCCTGGAGCCTGCCCAGCACAGCCAGCCGACTTCCCAGAGAGCAGGGGCTGGGGCACGGGAGGGGACCCAGTCCCCTCAGACTTCAAAACAGATAACCACCTTACAGATAGGCCCATGAAATACGCTTGAAAGGGATGAATAAGGAGGGAGAGAGGGAGGGAGGGCGGAAGGGAGAGAGGGAGGGAAGAAGAGAGAAAAGAAGGAAGGAAGGAAGGAAGGAAGGAAGGAAGGAAGGAAGGAAGGAAGGAAGGAGTCTCTCAACAGCTAAGCTATGTAAGAAGGACCATGCTAGGAAGTCTATGTTTTTTTACAATGATAAGGATGCCAGTTTGTCTGGGACTTTGCTCATCAAGCCCTACTCATACCCCCATAAAATCCCTTGCCTTCTCCATTGCCAGTTCTTAAGGACTTTATTTTTTCACTCAGACATTAGCCATTCATGAACCTTACAAGGTGTGTTCTGAATTCTACCTTAGCTACTAAACCATACCTGAAGATACCGACTCAGGAGCCAGATCAGTCTAGTCTTATCCTGACTGTCCTGACACTGGGCTGTGACCAAGTCTCTCTCAGCCTGTGGAGGGAAAGGTGCCTGGAAGTCAGGCAGCCCCACCTGGCTACAGACACCACACAGGCTGTGCCATAGTGGGATATTGTGATTTATAATAAGAAATATGGATTTTGGCCTGTGTCCCTGGTTTCTGGCACAGAACTCCTAAAAGACAAACAAACAAACCTGCAAACAAAACTTTGTAATTTCCTGAGCAGTAGGAGAACATCTTTTGTTCTAACGTTTGGTCTTTGACATGGTTCTCAACATGGAGCTCCTAAATCCCTTGGAATTTCCTGGGTGATAGGAGTGCTTTTGTTCTAATGAGGCGGCCCTTGGTGTGCTCCTGAGTCAGGGCTGGTCACCAGCAAGACCAAGCTATGATTAGACGCTTGGAACTTTCAATCCCAACTCTCATCCTTTGGGGAGACTGAGGGGCTGGAGATGGAGTTAATCATTGACCATTCCTACATGATGAAGCCTCCATAAAAATTTCTGAACTATGGGGCTCGGGGAGCTTCCGGGTTGATGAATAAGAACACACGTATGTGCCAGAAGGGCGGCACACCTGAGAGGGCATGGAAGCTGCTCACCGCTCCCCCATACCTTGCCTTCCATCTGGCAGTTCCTGAGCTGTATCCTTTTATAATAAATGGGTTAAAGTAAGCAAAGGCTTGCCCTGAGTGCTATGAGCCATTCTGGCAAATGATTGAACCTGAGAAGGAGGTTTTGGGAGCCTCAGATTTGCAGCCAAGTTGGACAGAAGTTGTGTGTAACCTGGGCCCTACTACCTACAATTGCACAGGAAGTAGGGGGCAGTCTTGTGGGACTAAGCCATTAATCTGTGGGATCTGACACTATCTCCAGGTAGATGGTGTCAGAATTGACACCAACTGGGTGGCAGAGAACTGGGCAATGTGCAAAAAACCCACATATCTGGTCACAGAAGTGATTTGTGTGGTCAGAGAGAGTATAGAGAAGGAAAAACAGTCGGTGTTTCCTGTCTTACTGACGGTCATCAAGGTTTCACCCCATGGCCTTTGGGGACTTGGAGTTGAAAGAACAACCACCCGGCATCCTTGAGGCTATCTTCCCACTAAACATTATTTAAAGCAGTACATCCAATATGGCAGCCACTAGCAACACGTACCCATTGAGCACTTCACACGTGGCCATTAGGATATACTGAAAGTACAAAAAAAAAATTCACTGGATTTTGAAGATAGTGTAAAAAAAGAAGGCAAACTATATCATTAATAATTTTTTAGCATTGATTATATGTTGAACTGATAATATTCTGATTTTATGGGCTAAATGTCATGTAGTATAAAATTATATTCACCTTTTTTATTATCATAAAATACAAATATCATAAAATTTACTTTTTCTTTTTCTTTTCTTTTTTTGAGACAGAGTCTTGCTCTGTCGCCCAGACTGGAGTGCAGTGGCATGATCTCAGTTCACTGCAACCTCTGCCTCCCTGGTTCAAGTGATTTTCCTGCCTCAGCCTCCTGGGTAGATGGGACTACAGGTGCCCACCACCATGCCTGGCTAATTTTTGCATTTTTGGTAGGGACAGGGTTTCACCCTGTTGGCCAGGCTGGTCTCCAACCCCCAACCTCGTGATCCACCCACCTCGGCCTCCCAAAGTGCTGGGATTACAGGCGTGAGCCACCGCATCCGGCCAAAATTTACCATTTTAATCATTTTAAGTGTGCAGTTCAGTAGTGTTAGGTACATCCACATTATTATGCTACCATGACCACCATTCATATCCAGAACTTCTTCATCATCCAGAACTGAAACTCTATGTTCGTTAAACAATAACTCTTCATTCTACTTTCTGTCTCTATAAATTTGACTCCTCTAGGTAATTCATGTAAGTGGAATCATAAAGTACTTGTCCTATTGTGACTGGCTTATTTCACTGAACATTATGTCTTCAGGTTCATCCATGGTGGAGCATGTGTCAGAATGTCCTTTTTTTTTTACTTTTAAAGCTGAATAATATTCCTTTTCTGTATAGACCACATTTTGTTTATCCATTCATCTGTTGTTGGACACTTGGGTGGCTTCCACTACGGGTGGTTATCATGCAGAATGCTGCCATGAGTACAGTGTGCAGATGTCTGTTTGAGTCCTAGCTTTCATTTCTTTTATTTCTTTCTTTTTTATTTTTTTATTTTTGAGACGGAGTCTCACTCTGTCGCCCAGGCTGGAGTGCAGTGGCGCCATCTCGGCTCACTGCAAGCTCCGCCTTCCGGGTTCAAGCGATTCTCCTGCCTCAGCCTCACAAGTAGCTGGGATTACAGGCGCCCGCCATCATGCCCAGCTAATTTTTGTGTTTTTAATAAAAACTGAATTTCACCATGTTGGCTGACTGGTCTCGAACTCCTGACCTTGTGATCTGCCCGCCTCAGCCTCCCAAAGTGCTGGGATTACAGGCATGAGCCACCGCGCCCAGCCCTAGCTTTCATTTCTTTTGGGTATATACCCCAAAGAAGGAAGGAATTGCTAAATTTTATGTTAATTCCATGTTTAATATTTTGAAAAACCACCATCCTGTTTGCCACAGCAGCTGCACCATGTTACATTCCCATCGACAGTGCACAAGGGTTCCAATTTGTCCACATCCTCACGAACGCTACTTTCTGTTATTTATTTTTAAGCTTTTCATAGAAACCATTCTAATGGGTATGAAGTGGTATTTCGTTAGGTATTGATTTGCATTTTCTTAATGATTAGTGATGGATCGAGTGTCTTCTCATGTGCGTAGTGACTATTTGTATATCTTGTATGGAGAACCACCTGTTTCCTTTTACTTTTTTTGTTTTTAATGTGGCTACCAGAAAATTTAAAGTTACATGTATGACTCACAATGTATTTCTACTAGAGAGCTCTAGTCTAGAGCGAATGAAGGTACAGCTCCTACCATACGGAGTGTTTTAGCAATGGAAGGAATCCTGTTATTCAGAATGTGGCAAATGCAGTTCCAATTAATTATCTCTGAGTTTCTTTCCAAGAATAATATTTTATGATCTCTTTCTCTCTGTGCTCTAAGGACTTAACCTAGTGCTTTCACGTCAAAGGAGAAAAAAGGAGTCATTCCCCCATACAACGTGGAAGACCCAAAGGTTCAGAGGACCCGTCATCTGTGTAGAGTGGATGGGCTCTTCTGACTGGGGGGTGTCTCGGCTCCAGAGCTCACCACTGTCCTGTACCTGGGGAAGAAGCATCCATGCATATAAATTAGGCTGATAAAAGTTTGCACCCTCTGACGTTCCAAGGGAGGGATGAGATACCATCAGAATCAAGTCCCTTGGGCTGGGCACGGTGGCTCAGGCCTGCAATCTCAGCCCTTTGGGAGGCCGAGGCAGGGATCACCTGAGGCCAGGAGTTCGAAATCCAGCCTGGCCAACATGGTGAAATCCCATCTTTACTAAAAATACAAGAACTAGCTGGGTGTGGTGGGCGGGCACCTATAATCCCAGCTACTTGGGAGGGTGAGGCAGGAAAATCACTTGATCCGGGAGGCAGAGGTTGCAGTAAGCCAAGATCACACCACTGCACTCCAGCCTGGATGACAAGAGCGAAACTCCGTCTCAAACAAAAAGAAAAATCTAGTCCCTTGGTCTTAGGGGCAGAGACTACAAGTTTATTCCGCTGAGATAAATGCATTTCTTGATGCTACAAGCCATCCTACCCACAGAGGCTGCTTCCAACAGTTTCCTGGGAGTCTCATGCTACATTTAGTAGAAGAAAGTTGTCATCGTTTTCCACCATTGAACAGTTACAAGACTGGGGTAGGCTCCAAAGTTACTTTTCATACGTTTTCTTATTTCCTCTGAGGAAACAGCATCACCAGCCCAGATTTCCTTCCTTTTATCTTATTTAGAATCTCACAGAGGCATGACCCACCATTGGGATTGAGCTTGGCATTTACAGAAGACCCGCAAATGCTGTGGCCTAGAACTTCATTTCAAAGGTAAAAAGAAGAAAAAGAAGAAATTTTGTGGAAAAAGCAAGAACTATCATGATGTCTGTCACTTTTTCTTTCTTTTTTCTTTTTTTTTTTTGAGACAGAGTTTTGCTCTATAAGGCTGAAGTACAATGGCACGGTCTCTGCTCACTGCAACCTCTGCCTCCCAGGCTCAAGCGATTCTCCTGCCTCAGCCTCCCAAATAGCTGGACTATAGGCGCACCACCACACCTGGCTAATTTTTTTTTTTTTTTTTTTTTTTTTGACGGATTTGCTCTTGCCAGGCTGGAGTGCAGGCCGGATTCCTCACTGCAAGCTCCGCTCCCGGTTCACCCATTCTCCTCAGCCTCCGGTACTGGACTACAGGCCCCCCCTCGCCCGGCTATTTTTTGTATTTTTAGTAGAGACGGGTTTCACCGTGTTACCAGGATGGTCTCGATCTCCTGACCTCGGATCCCCCGTCCGCCTCCAAAGGCTGGATACAGGCTGAGCCACCGCCCGCCCATTTTTGTATTTTTAGCAGAGACGGAGTTTCACCATGTTGACCAGGCTAGTCTCGAACTCCTGACCTCAGGTGATCCCTCGGCCTTGGCCTCCCGAAGTGCTGGGATTACAGGTATGAGCCACCATGCCTGGCTGCCACTTTTTCTTTCTAAGAGGAATACATTTATAGCAGACCAGCCCTTGCAATAGCTGTTAATATGGCTTGAAAAGAAAATGAGGACAATATTTTAATGCCAGATAAAAAAGTAGAAACCAGGCAAAACTATGATCTGGTCACCTATATGAAAAGATAATGCAAAGAGTAATACTAGGTAGAATATATTTGAATGCATTGGAGGAAAATGCTCTGTAAAAATAGACTTTATAGTTTATGTATAAAATATAGCTTATAGAAATGTTCTTTGCTGGCCGGGTGCAGTGGCTCATGCCTGTATTCCCAGCACTTTGGGATGGACCAGCCTGGGCAACATGATGAAACCCTGTCTCCACTAAAAACACAAAAAATTAGCCAGGTGTGGAGGTGGGGTCCTGTAATCCCAACTACTCGGGAGGCTGATACAGAAGAATCACTTGAACCTGGGAGGCGAAGGTTGCAGTGAATCAAGATTGTGCCACTGCACTCCTGCCTGGGCGACAGAGTGAGACTCTGTCTCAAAAAAAAAAAAAAAAAAAAAAAAGAGAAAGAAAGAAAGAAAAGAAAAGAAACATTCTGCTATCTAGATTCATATAAATACAGGGGACTTGATATCTTGGAAATAATAGTGACTCATGCCTTGATAAATCCTTTTATACCCTAAATTTTTGACCCTGTAGTAGAATCATCTAATTTCCCTGTAAAAGAACCATTGAATTTCCCCATAATAGAATCATCTAATCTCCCTAATGTCAGTGTCCTCATCTGCAGAATTAAAGATATAATTTGCCCTACAAGATTTGGGGGATTTTTGTAAGAACCTATTGAAATAATAGATGTACAAACACTCTAAAAAGTTAGAAGTAAAATAAAAATGATTTTATAACAGGAATATGGTTCATTATACTAGATTTCCTATCACAGTGACTGAGAAAACACTGATATTCATGGGAAGAAATGAGAACCTGTACCAGCACTGTTGAAGACTGAAACAATATGGGATTTCCATCCATCCCACCAATTTACTTGGATCATCTTTTTAGGAGGCTTACAGGGAAGTTGTGGTGTTCTGTGCATCATATAGTTTATATTTAATATACAGAAACTTTTCTTTAAGGAACCCGAGGCTGGGCGCAGTGAGTCACACCTGAAATCTTAGGACTTTTGGGAGGCCAGCGCAGGCAGATTGCTTGTCCAGGAGTTTGAGACCAGCCTGGGCAACAGAGCAAAACCTCATCTCTACAAAAAATACAAAAATTAGCCAGATGTGGCATGGTATGTGCCTGTAGTCGCAGCTACTAGGGAGGCTAAGGCGGGAGAACCACCTGAGCTCAGGGAGGTTGAGGCTGCAGTGAGCTGTGATTGCACCACTGCACTCCAGCCTGTGTGACAGAGTGATACCCTGTTTCTAAAAAATAAAGTAAAGTAACCTGAGTGAGGGTGGGAGAGAGTTAACCAAAGAAAACTGAAAATAATACTAGAACCTTCGCTATTACGGGCAGAAAGTTTCCTGCAAGCAGCAGCCAAGTTCCCAGAGAGGAAAAAAGTGTGTGTCTGTGTGTGTGTGTTTAGCTTCAAAATCACAAAACACTTAGGTACTATGTTTTATTTCTCCAATTTTCCTTCTTTCCAAAAAAAAGAAAGAAAAAAAAATGAATGCAAGGAGCAGAGGTCTCAGAAATCTTCAGGCAGTCCTGCCTGAATTGCTAAAGCAAGGAAGCTGAGGGCCTTGCAGCCCATTCCTCTAGTACCTATGGCGTCTGGGGCCTGCAGCAGGTGTGGCGGTGACGCGGGTTATTTGTTTTCCAGGGTCAGGTTGGCACATTTCTAGCCCAGGGCTCTGGGTAAATGTTTAGATTTCATTTTCTGTCTGGTGTTCAACTCCTGGGCGTCAAAGGCAGGCCCCTGCATGCTGCTGCCCTCCTACGTCCTTTGTCTCCTCCCAGGGGCTGGTGGGAATTCAAGAGGTGAGAGGAAAAGGGAGGGGAGGGAGTGGACGCTTTGCTGCGGTTCCAGCTCTCCCAAAGAGCCGCTTTCAAGACACAGCATCCTCCTCTCCCTCGCCCTCTCTAGGGAGGGCTTGCAGCGCCCCAGTACTGGGAATGGGGCTTGTTTACACAGCTCATTATTCGCTCTTTGCAGTTGCTATAGCAACCACCAGGGGTCAGTTTATAGAAGGAGAGGAAGTTCACTTTTGGGGAGTTAACCTTCCAGCTCCTGTGCAAAGCGCAGCTGAAAACAAAAGCCCCAGACACCCATGGAGGAAACACATCGAAAAGCTTCCTATGAACGTAAGCATCCTTTAGGGCAAAAAACCACTCAGAGACGCCACGTTTCTCCCTTGCTGAGAGTCTCCAGATCAGCTGACGGCAGAATGAAGGTCTTACCACCGCACCGGGCAGGCTTTCCTCTCGCCCCCATCCTCTCACTACTTTGCCCTGTTGGTAGTTAAGATGACAAGGGCATCTAAGTTCATTTAAAGTGATAAGTTTCATTAATATTACGTATTAACGGAGGACCGGAAAGATCTCTGTGAACTGGTACGATTCCCATCTTCCTCCTGAAGGGAGAGGCAGCACCCCATCAGAGCAGCGCACCCATCTCGAGATCCACACCCACCAGAGAGGAGCGGCGCTGCTTCTGTAGAGCTTGCAGGGAAGACCCCCAGGACGCCTGGCCAGTGAAGAGTGTCCAGCACTAACCTGCTTAGCTAACCCGATTCAGCAAACAAATAATACAGATGCCCAGTTAAATCTGACCTGCAGAAAAACAAGGAATTTTTGTGTAAGTCTTCCATGTAGCATCTGGACCATATATACAGTAAGTCTATAGAACCTAACATAAGCCAGTCCTTGCCCTCCTCCTCACTGGCCACCATCACCTCCAAAAGAGTTTAGTAGATAAGTTCTCTTTTATAAGCAAATAAAGTGCCAGCTTACTGTTCAGGATGATCTAGGCCTTGGACTATCAGGCTGATCATGAAAAAAAAATGAAAGGGAGTGATTTACATATATGCAAGTCATAAACCAGAGGCTAGGCTAGCCACAGACAGCCACTCATCTTCCCTCAGATCTAAACACCAGCATGAGTTACTTGATTGGTAAATGCAATAGAACTCATTTTGTGAATTATCTAAAATCCATAAAGGGTAATGATTTCTATTTGTTTGAAAGGAAAAACATTTTTGCTGTGTATGTGTTTAAAGGAATAGACCAAATTTGTTTCTGAGCGCTACGCATGTACAGGGGAGACAGTGATATTTGCATTTATCAAAGTCACACCCTTCCCAGCATTTCTTTTGCTAAGGTTTTACCGCTTCTTCATCAAGAAGGCTGGCTCAGTGAAAGTTTTACTGAATTTTGTAGAAATTCTGGAAAACCTAGACCATTAGTTGTAATGCTGTGCTGACCCTAAATCCACGAACCCAAAACTTAAGGCAAAAAAAAAAAAAAAAAAAAAAATTAAGAAGCATAAACTTTTATGAAAACAAAGCAAATAGCAGCTGTAGTATATTCCATCAGGTCCCCACCAACTCAGACTGCAGACTCCCACAGCTCTGATCCAAAACAGGGAATTAAAGGAAAACTGTCAAGCTAAACATTATCAACAATAAAAATATTCTCACCTGTTGCTAACTCTAAAAATCTCAATATAGATTTCACAGAGAAAAAAAAAGTGTTAGTTTTAGAAGCTGATCCTTCTAAAGCCCAGAACAGTGAGTTCTAATTTTGTCTCTTCAATGTCTGGTTGTGACCTCCGTGGAAGTCTGTGGACAGTTCTGACTTGGTCTCCCTGTGGGCAAAATGCAGATACTGAATTATACGTGTTCTTTGCCTAATCAAGAGTGTATAATAAGAATGTCTATACCTATACTCTGAGCTCTTCAGACAAAAGGCAGGAAGTAGAAATGTGATTATTTGTGCTGTTCACTTTTTAAACAAGCAACTTGATTTAGAAGTTGAAATCAGTTTAGTTGTTTGGTTTGGTTTGATTTAAAGCACTTTGAAATAACTTCATTTTGGAAACCCTATTTTCATTTATTTAAACCAATAGTCCTCTGCTTTTTTTCTTAATCATTTGTTAATAAACCCTACATTTGAAGCTCAAGCATTCAGACAGTGTGTCTTTAACACCATTCAACAGCTGTTAAATGGGATAATCACCTGTTTATCCTCATGTCACTAATTCAAATGCTAATTGCACTCTAGGTTTGGTTTATTCCCTCACTGGAGCCAGACCAGGTGTGCAGCACTCTGGAAGCATGCTGCAATGTCATGGAACTCCAGAGATTGATTATATTTTCAGTGGCACAGATAAAACAGGGCAACACACATGCACACACTCTCACACACATGCACCCTTGCACAAAAATGAATGAACATGTTGCCCATAACTGTGAAAATTAGAAATGACCTAAATGTCAGATCACAGGGAAATAAACCAAAGGAAACAACCATGGCATGTAGTATTATGCAATCATTAAAAGAATGTTTATGCATATGGTTAAATAACATGTAAAAAATAGCTATGTTGAGTGAAAAAGGTAGTATGTAAAACTATTGTATGTAAACAATATGGAAAAATATTTTGCACAGAAAAAGACCAAAAATACAATATGCTGGCAACTAAAATAAATCCATTTTTAGAGTACTGATTAAAAGCAAGGACAATCCTAGGAGCCTGGGATACATGAGAAGTTCCTGCTTTTTACATTCTGGAAGAGAAAGACAAAATGTAGGTACAGAACTCATCAATAAGAGATATTTGTAGAGTGATGATCTTAAGAAGAAAATTTACAAAGGGCTATGGGGTAAAGGGTCTGCTTTAGTTTGGGTGCTGAGGGAAGAACTCTCACAGGAAATGCAAACAATGAGAAGCCCCAAGATAGGAGTGGGCTTGGCATGGTGGAGGAATGGGCACAGGTTGGAGTGCAGTGAGCTGGGAGAGTGTGGTAGAAGGTGTGTTTGGAGAGGCCCCGGGCAGAAGCAAGGGACAGGTGCAAGGGTGGAGGGAGAGACCAGAGTACCCCGCTGGGACCAGGTGTGCGGGATGGAGCATGGGCTAGGGTGGCAACCGTGGAGATGGATTCAGGACATTTTTTGAGGGTAGAACTGGCAAGAATTGCTGATGAACCAGATTTGGGGTGGAGGAGAGATGGGAATACTGAATCAAAAGAGAAGAATCTCATAGGACTCCTAGATTTTTGGCCTCAACAACTGAATCTATTGTAGTTCCACTCATCAAGCCGAATAGGACTCGTGTAGGAACAGGTTTGTGGTGGAAACTTTTTTTATTATACTTTAAGTTCTAGGGTACATGTGCACAATGTGCAGGTTTGATACATAGGTATACATGTGCCATGTTGGTGTGCTGCACCCATCAACTCATCATTTACATTAGGCATTTCTCCTAACGCTATCCCTCCCCCAGTCCCCACCCACCGAACAGGCCCCGGTGTGTGATGTTCCCTGCCCTGTGTCCATGTGTTCTCATTGTTCAATTCCCACCTATGAGTGAGAACATGCAGTGTGTGGTGGAAAATTAAGAGTTCTGTTTAGGCCATTTTATGTTTGAAATGCCTGTTAGATATCCCAGTGAGGATGTCAAGCAAGGAGTCAAGAGGCTCTGAAGTCTGCCTATCAGGGAAGCATCAGGGCTGGAAATATTTTGGAAGTTATTTGCATGTTGATGGCTTTTAAAGCAAGGGATAGTGTGGAACAACATAGAGAGACCACATAGAGAAGAAAGGCATCCCACAACGGAACTAGAGACTGGGGTCAGGAGAAAGAGCCAGTAAAGAAATGACAGCAGACACAGTGGCTCACACCTGTAATCCCAGTGCTTTGGGAGGCTGAGGCATGAGGATCACTAGAGATCGGGAGTTGAAGACCACCCTGGGCAACATAGCAAGATCCTGTCTCTACACAGAATTTTTTTTAATTAGCACGACATGATGGCATGTGCCTGGAATTCTAGCTACTTGAGAGGCTAAAGTGGGAGAATCATTTGAGCCCAGATGGTTGAGACTGCAGTGAGCCAAGATCACACCACTGAACTCCAACCTGGATAACAGAGTGAAAATCTGTCTCTAAAAGAAAAAAGAGAAAGATAAAGAGAGAGAAAAAGGAAGGGAGAGAGAGAAGGAGGGTGGAAAGGAGGGAAGGAGAGAGGGAGGGAGGGAGGGAGCGAGGGAGGACGGAAGGAAGGAAGGAAGGAAGGAGGGAGGGAGGGAGGGAGGGAGGGAGAGAAGGGAAGGGAGATAATGAGTTAGAAGGAAAGCTAGGGGAGTATGGCATGCCAAAACCAAGAGAAAAAAATTTTAAGACAAAAGAAAATAGCAGTGGTATAAATGCTGCTGAAAGTTTGAGAAATAGTGAGAAGTTACTATGGTTTGTTTATTTGTCCCCTCCAAATCTCATGCTGAAACTTATCCCCAGTGTTGGAGGTGGGGCCTAGTGGGAAGTGTTTGGGTCTTGATGTGAACCCCTCATTAATGCCCCCCTTGGGGTGAAGGAGTTCTCACTCTATTTGTTCTGGAGAGAGCTGGCTGTTGGAAAGAGCCTGGCACCTCCCCTCCTCCCCTCTCTTGCTTCCTCATGTGCCATGTGATCTCTGCACATTCCCCTCCCATTCACCTTCCACCATGAGTGGAAGAAGCCTGATGCCCACAGCTGATGCCCAATCTTGAACTTTTCCAGCTCTTAGAATTGTGAGCCAAATAAACCTTCTTTCTTTATAAATTACTCAGCCTCATGTATTCCTTTATAGTAACACAAAACAGACTAAGACAGACGCTTCCTCTGGTTTTGGCAACACGATGACCCTTACCAGATCAGGTTCAGTGGAGTGGTAAGAGTGAAAAGAATGGGAAGGGAGGCAGTGGGTTCAGTGACCACAGATGACACACATGAATGACCCTTGGAGCAGATCAGAGAAATAGGCCAGAGCTAGAGCTGTGCCAGCTGGGTCAAGGGAGGATTATTTTAGGGAATGATTTCAGAGCACACTTGAATATTGGTAAGAATGATCTAGTAGAAAGGATAAAAGAGATAGTGGAGGAAAGAGAGAAAAAGAGGAAAAAGAGATTACTGAAAAGCAAGCAGGATGGAATCCAGAGAAGGTAGGATTTGACCTTGATAGAAGCAAGGAAATTTCATCCATCATAACAGAAGAAAAGACCAGAAAGAACTGGCATAGATGTGGGTAGACCAGGAGATCTGGAGGGAACGAGGGAAGGGGGTTCCTTCTGATTGTTTCCGTTTTCTTGATGCATCCTAAAACAACATTGACGTGGTTTGTGTCTGTGCCCCTACCAAATCTCATGTTGAGTTCCAGTTCCCAATGTTGGAGGTGGGGCCTGGTGGGAGGTGTTTGGGTGATGCAGGCAGATCCCTCATGGCATGGCGCTGTCCTCACAATAGTGAATGAGTCCTCACAAGATTTGGTTGTTGTAAAGTGTGACACCTCCCACCCCAACTCTCTCTCTTGCTCTGGCTCCTGCCATGTGAGACACCTGCTCCCCTTCACCTTCCGCCATGATTGGAGGCTTCTTGAGGCCCTTAGCAGGAGCCAACCCAAGGACCAAGCACAGTTGTGTTCCAATAAAACTTTATTTATAGGCTGGGCAAGGTGGCTCACGCCTGTAATCCCAGCACTTTGGGAGCCTGAGGCGGGCGGATCACGAGGTCAGGAGTTCAAGACCAGCCTGGTCAGTATGGTGAAACCCTGTCTCTACTAAAAATACAAAAAATTAGCCGGCATGCTTGAACCTGGCAGGCAGAGTTTGCAGTGAGCCAAGATTGCGCCACTGTACTCCAGCCTGGGAGACAGAGCGAGACTCCATCTAAAAAATAAAAATAAAAAAACTTTATTTATAAACACTAAAATTCAAATTTCAGATGATTTCTATCTTCATAAAATATTCTTCTTTTGATTTTTTTCCAACCATTTAAAAGTAGGAAAACTCTTCTTAGTTCATGGGCCTCATACACACAGGTGGCCCACAGGCCGTCATTTGCTGACCTTTGTGTTAGAGGAAAACGTGCGGTTCTTTTTCATGACAGACTGGGAAGTGAGTGAAGGCCTGGGCCCAGGCACACCTCTCTTGGACAGCGTGAGGTGGTGTGGCCATAGAGGTGCAGGGTCTTCTGAGCCGTGTCAGAAACAGTTAGGGCTTCTTATCTCCTGCTAGCAGAGATTTATGTCTTATTTCAACTTGTATTTTCCAACTTTTCTTTCAAAATCCTGTATTAATTCTGGCATTTAAAGGTTCCACATATCTTGCAGCAGAGAGAAACAATTAGTCCTGTACAAGTGACCATGTGCACCTCCAGTGCTGACTCAGGAGCTGACAAGAACCCAAGCCTCGCTGAGGTTTGAGTGCCAGCGTTGCAACCTTAGCCGTCTTCAGGTTGTGAAGTTCATTCCAGTCATACTGAAATTTCAAGACAGTTAATCTATAGCTATTTTAGATTAGGCATATTTTACTAATTGAATTGAGAATACCAACATCATAAATTGTTTTTAACATTCTAATTTACTCTCAGATTTTTTTAAAACTACTAAATTATTTTTAAATCCTGTGTATCTTCATGTGTAAGAGAGAATATGAAAACAGTTTTAAATAAATGAATAGAACCGAAAACTAGAGAAAATTCAGACAGAGAAAGCATGGAGAATATAATTTCCTGTTAAGAACAAAGGAGGTGATAACAAAGGTAATTTAATTATAAGACCAAGATGAATTTAACATCATGTTCAAATGTTCATTGATGACTCATTCCAAGAATTTTAAAATTTAAAATAAATAAATTAAATGTTTTTTTGTCCGGGGGATGGAGTCTTCCTCTCTTTTCCAGGCTGGAGTGCAGTGGCACAATCTTGGCTCACTGCAACCTCCGCCTCCCGGGTTCAAGCAATTCTCCTGCCTCAGCCTCCCACGTAGCTGGAGTTACCGGCACACACCAACCATCACACCCACCTAATTTTTGTATTTTTAAAGTAGATACGGAGTTTCACCATGTTGACCAGGCTGGTCTTGAACTCCTGACCTCAAGTGACCTACCCGCCTTGGCCTCCCAAAGTGCTGGGTTTGCAGGCAT